ATTGATTGATATGTGGGGTTTAACGTCCCAAAACCACCATATGATTATGAGAGATGCCGTAGTGCAGTGCTCCGGAAATTTCGACCACCTGGGGTTCTTTAACGAAGCGAGGAAGAAAGAAAGCGAGGAAAGCATTGCTACTGCAACCGACCGTGGGCACGTGGATCGTTTGACATAAATAACCCTCTCGCGACAACGGCAGGGGAAAGAAAAAGAGTGCGGTCACCACGCTTTCTGCAGCTTCCTTCCGCTTTGGCTATTTTATGTACCTTCTGCCGTGTTAGCTGCCGCCCCCATCCTTCACATATATACGACCTGTTGCGACATTGCCGCGACACCAGCACAGCATCTGCGTCCTTTTCTCCCGTCTTTCCTTCCCCTGTACTGACTCGTGGTGGCGATGTTCGTCGCTTCTTCGGTTCGGTTGTCAGCGCTCTCGTGTAGTGGGCGGGTTGATTTTTTTTTTTTGGCTCTCGTAAAAGGAGGCTTGACCGGTTGTTGTCGGGGAGACTGGACGGCCGTGAGGCATTCGGCACCATACTACTGCGGCAATACCACCACTGTCGTTGTCGTCTCCTGCTACTGCTGCTGTTCGCAGTAGAACCATGCTTTACGCGTAAACCTTCAATTCCTCTCTCTCTCTCTCTCTCTCTCTTCTATGTAGCGTTCACCAGAGAAGAAGAGAGGGAGGAAGAACGGATATTGATTCGACCTTTCCGGTTCGCTGCATCTTGGCTTTATCTGTCCTGTCGGCCGTTCGGCCTTGTTCGAGTGCGTTCTTTCATCTGTGCCGCTTTCTCTTTTGTTTTTTCGTCAGCGTTTCCTTTTCGTTCGATATTTCACCAAATGTCTGTCGTCGAGGGTGCTTTTTATTTTATTTTGAGTCATTTCTTTTATCTCGCGTTTTTCTTCATGGCCGGACATTCAGACGCGTCAGTGGTACATTAAAATAAAAGAAAAAGAAAATACGGCGTGACAATAGTAATGGTCTGTGGCTGAGGCTGTCTTTGTCGTTTCCGCGTGTTCTCATTCTTGAACGTTGTGGGGTGTTATCGTAGGGCGAATCGCAGAGCAGCGAGCTTTTTATTCGCTTGCGTTGTTCGGTAACGGTGCGTTGGTTAGGGTGGTGTAACGCAAGGGGTCGTTTTCTCAGAATTTGGGCCGCCCGATCTGTTTGTGCGTGGTTCCCGAGGAGACCGCCTGCCGATGATTCGGTTCCCCGGTGTACGGTTTTCGATGCCGTGCGCGGACATCTCACAACTTTTTTTTTTTTTTGCGACAAAATTTTGCTAGCGAGCTTTCATTAAATTTATACAGGCTGCTCTTCAAAGAACATACGGGTTTTCCTACAAATAACCATGAAGAGACCGCCCGCCGAGCCTCATTTGAAGATATCTTCTTGTGAACGCCTATTCGGTTAATCAGAAGAAGTTATTGGCTATTACTGAACTGTGTACGCAGTTCACGTTTCGTTTGTATAGTGTTTCAAAAAACATATTTAAATATTAAACGTGAGCATCTTACTAATTTCGAAGTTTCTGAATTGGGCAAACCTATGACGGGCATGCTTCTCACCTTACTTAGTGACTGTTTTCGTTAATGTTATTTATCATTCGTAGATATTCATTGTACTTTCCGGTTTTTTTTTTTAGTACTTTCTGTGCCTCTCCGCTGCAAAGCCTTTAGCAATAGTGATGGAAAAATAACGATACACGTATCCTTCATGGCGTCAGTTCACTTTAACATGAACAATCCGCCTCCGACTGCTTAAATATGTTGAGTGAATATATATGCAAATTGAAGTAGGTCATTTTAATTCAACTGGGGAATACGTCGACGTTTTATGTGGCGCGCTGTTATCAAGCGCGCCGTTGAAAAAGAGGAATCGAAAATCATTTCCAATCCGTGCTCGGTGCCCTAGCTTCCGGTATTTTCACTTGGCGTCGGCTTCCCCGAAAGCAGTTTGAGGAGCTCGACCTTCCGTGACCCAGTTTTTCTAAGCTGTTCCAAGAGACGGGGTGGGGGGTTAAGACTTTGCTGTCTTAGAAGATCTGAAGGGCCCTTGGGAACACGCATCCGTGGTTCAAGAATAGTAAAACACACTCGCACGCACGCACGCACGCACACACACACACACACACACACACACACACACACACACACACACACACACACACACACAAAGTTAAATGAGTACGTTCACAAGAAGCAACGGCATACGCACGCGTACATGACTTTAGGAGCTCTGCATGGTAATCATGTTAAGTCGCGGCTTCAGAGGACTTGGAGGACGTACGTGCCAGCACTTTTTTTGTTTTTTACGATGGCGTGGCGTCTGTTCGAAGCCGAGAAAAGATGATAACCAGCCTGCAAAACTGTATCGAAACTTGGGTTTTGCTTTAGAGCGACATAGCTTGTGTGCGATGAAGTTAGGCCACGCAAAAAAAAAAAGAGAGAGAGAGAGAGAGAGAGAGGTTCGTCTGCCATTGCTCTTTTAATGCTGTCGGGTTTGGCGTGCATGACTTGAGGCCTTAAAGCTTGGTGCCTACCCCCCCTCCCCCTTTTTTTTTCTCGAGGTTATTAATGTTTCGTTATTGTAGACATATTTATGTAAGTAGACAAAATGTCCTGGCGGCTTTCTCAGCAGCTTCGTGTAAACTTGCGCGGCGCTTACACTTGTCTCACTTTTTGCCAGTTTATCGCAAGTTATCGCGTCCTTGGGGATTTCTCGCGGTTGTCGTACTTACGCTAATGTTACGGTTATTGATTGAACTTTACACTTGAGCGTGTTTTCGATTCTGCAAAAACACGCTGACAGTCACTGACGGAATTTTTTTTTTTTTTTACAAGGACCCCTAAATTATGTTCGATCATTTTTTTTCTACATATAAAGTTGAACGCGCCCACAGAGTTCACAAGGCTGTCTCGATCAGCAATGTCAAAGGCTGCAGCGCTACGGGCTGCGGGCGCCCCACAATTTCCCTGAAACCGTCCCTACTCTTCTTCGAGCCCCTCAGCGTTAGCCGTGACGTCAGCATTCTTGGGCTCTCGTCATCGACAGAACATGTTTGTCTGCTTGCAGGTGCGTTCACCTCCCTTCGTCCTCGCACTCGGCCAAGATATATTCTAGTACATATAGCCAAGATGAGAGTCGAGCGGACGAAGGAAAAAGGAAAACGAGCGATAGCCGCTTGGATAATCAAACACGTGTAACTGTGCTATCACTGTTGGTAGTAAGTGCTTATCCCTGTGTTTCCGTCCGTGTCTAAGTAGTGCCCTCTTATTTCATACCATCATGTGTCACCAACTCGCCTAATCAACCATATTGACAAATTACGGTAACGTTTTGAAAAATTCTCACGGCAATGAGTTCGTAGCGGACTCGTGCTCAACTGCAACATCACAACTAAATTTCGAACTCTCAGTAGTGTAGGGGCCTTACAAGGCCTAATTTTCGGGAAACCATCATCTACTCGAATGTACGTGTGCCGGTGGCATCGCGGTAACAGAAATATTCGGTTACCTTGCTTGAACATTTCAATAATGAACGTTTTAAAAATGTTTCTAGCTTGATTTCCTTGAATGAGGGGCGTTGAACACTGTGTACTTAATTGTCTGATATAACGAACTAAACGTACGTTTCTTGCATATGTCAGCATATAATGAGTTCATGCTCATCGCTAATAGCCGATATTACTAAAGTAATGTGGTGCCAGCTGTGCTATACGACGTCTGTTTCAATAACCCTCTTTTTTTTCCCCCCGAAGACCAACATTTTTTTCTGATTCAGCAGTTTTCAAGTTTGAGGTTAGTTTAGTCTGCATCTAGGCCTCACTTTTTTTCTTTTATAGCATGTATACCCTGTCTCGCTTCTTATATAAATTTGGGTGTCGTTCCCCAGGATTCGCCCGTTAGCTACAAGCGTCACTGGTGCCAATTCATTATTAGAGTGGCCGCCACGTTGTAAGCAGTTATGAGAACTCACGTTGGAGCCGTGGGAATTAATTATAACGTCCACAGCCCACTTAGCCGATGTAAAAATGGCTGTTCGATTCTGAGAAGCGATAATCGGTCAATCCGCACCTGGTCCGGACAAATCACGGACGTTGCTCCAAAGGCAAACAGCGCAAGCTTGCAGAAACGACGTAATGCATCCGTATTAATCGACACTCAAGGGCAACTTTTTGCGGTAAACACTGACTTACGTACTACATGCACAGACAGCTTCTGTATACAAGGGAGCGGAGCTATCGGTAGACCGAAGGATCATATATGTGGTTTTGGTGATATATCGTATACGTGGGTGTCATCTGTGCCATTACACGAGCATACCTGTCCCACTGCAAGGGATGTACACACTTCCCGAAGAGTTTGCGCGCTCCTGCAAACACTGAGCTCGGTGTTGTATATACTGTAAAGTGTATATACCTGTTCCCAGATGGTGTTCTTCGTGTGTGCATATATATGACTGCGTATAGACAAACTGGCCAACGCTCTTTGAAAGCATTCGCGAGACAGCTTGCTAATACTGAGACTCTTTTTGTGTCGCCTTCGTTTTACTTTCTATTGTTCTTGTTGGTCTTATTGTTTTCGTTTTTAGCAATTAACGCTTCAGCCGTCTAACCACATCTTCGTGAAAACCTCTGTGTATACATGTTAGCCAAATATTCTGCATTGCCTCAGTGTCAGAGGTGGGCGGGTATGCTGTGCATGTGTTAGCCTACACTCCCCCTTTAGGTCATTTATTTATTTATCTATTTATTTACTTATTCATTTATTTGTTTGCTGGCAGTCCCGTTTACCGTTCTGTTTCCGTAGCCATGTGATATACACCACTTCTCATACGGCACCTCCCTTTCGCTGCAGCCCAGTTTGCGAATGACTCCACTCCAAGTGGTGTATATTGGTATATACATTCAGCCCGTCCTCTCACGTGTACATGTATATAGTATACAACGATGCCTTATACATCGCCCTCTCTTCTTCTTCTTCCTCTGCAGCCAAGGTGTGCCGCTTCCTGGTGACCAACAAGCGTCACGGTGAGGCGCCCTTCGAGGTTCGCATCACCGACGAGGCAACGGGCAAGGCCGAGCTGTTCGCCAAGAAGGAGCTCAACTGCGAGAAGCACCGAAACTACAAGTTCGACATCGCCGCCGTCGGATGCAACGGGCTCGTCTCCGAAAAGTGAGTCTTATATATCCCCGTTTGTGGTAATAATAGCTGTCTTGGTTTCACGTCCTATATTCACGATATGGGGCCATATAGTATACGTGGCATTCGGATCGGCAGTCCACCATGATAATTACTAGGCCAGCGCGACGTTTGGCCACGAAATGACTATCAGTAAAATAAACTATGATCACGTCTGAACGATGTTCTATCGACATATTACTGCCGTACACTGTTTATCTTGAAGCAGAATCGTGAGTTGGGAGAGTTGGTGGATGTTCATCGTGGAATATTTTGCATCCCCACGGGTTAGATAGGGATACGGATACGTAGTGCTGTGTCCCTTCTCTGTCCGTATCTAACCCGTTGCGCTGTAAAATACTCCACGGTGAACTGTTTATTTTCTTAAAAAGGGCACACACCTTCTCTTTCGGGTGTGCCAACTTTTGACCAACGTTCACCAACTGTCGACTAAATATTACGCATACTACATGCCTTTTCGCGGTATGCTCAGCGACAAGAACGAACGGACGCACGATTTGCATATGTCTCTTGCTGAGCAAGCAGTCGGCTCTCTTCGAACAATGCCTTTTGAGCGAGCGAGGTACTCACACATGTACACTGTGCATTTGCTGTAGTATTCATAGTCTGTATCTCAGGTATTAACTCAAGTATCCGTGTTGTCGCCACTAGGAAGAGTGGCTCTCGAACTTAGCTCTTTTGCCGCCGGAAGAAGTGATAACCGCTTGCTACGCGGGCACACTTTCTCTTTCATAGGCTATACTGTTGCTGGCGCTTCCTTCAAGTGTTCTGTTTTAGCATGTTAAAGACGCTGATAGGGGCGGCGCCAGCGGGGGGTACACGGCTCCTGGAGCCCCCCCCCCCCCTCCCCAAATTTTCGCTTGCCCCCGCCCTTATGCCCTCCTCCCAAAATCAAACATAGTTGAAAAATGGTATAGTTAGCATGCGCCCCCCCCTGAACGAACTCGCTTATCGTCGGTGCTCTCCTTCACAGCTCCAGTGAAAAAAATCCTGGCGCCATAGACAGTGCTGCTTGCGATCATTGCAGCAGCGATGAAACGATAGAGCACGTTCTCTGTTACTGCTCTCGTTACAGCGTGCACAGACAACCGCTAGCTGCTGCGTTAGCCCGCCTTGACGACAAACCCTCGTCAGAATAGTCAGTGCCCGAATGCTGTCATAGTCTGCCTTCGCACGGAAAATAACTCAAGGCCTTATTGAACTTTTTGCGTGGTAGTGGCCAATTGAATAAGCTATAGCACCTCCACTCTGTCTTTTTTTCTTTTTTCGCGTGTTTACTTTTTTATTCAATTTATTTCTCTTCTCTATTCCCCCTTTCTCTAATGAAGGGTAGCAAACCGGGTGCCCCAATTTCTGGTGGACCTCCCTGCTTTTCTGTCATTTGAGCCGATGCTAGCCACCGCCGACGCGTTCGCATACTTTTGCCGCTGTCTGCGACCGGCTGGTTAGATCACGTGGTTTGATCTAGCGCAGCCAAAGCCGTGAAGAGGAAACCGGATTCGCTTTCGCGTGGCGGGAAAATTTGCGTGCCGGCCGCACGGCGTGGTTTTCCAGCCGCTCGGGCGGCGAAACGAGTCAGTTTCCGGAGAGTTTCGCCGCTTTCGCTGTATTCAAGGCCAAGTGTGAACGCACCCTTAACCCCACCAACCAGCATCCTGCCGAGTGACCCGCTGTGCAAAGCGCGTACGTGCACGGAAGGGGCGTGGAAGCCGCTCTGATTGGCATGCTCAGAAAACGCTTCGTGGTTTACTGCGAAAAATAGCGCCGAAACGCATTCCTCTGGCGCCCCGACAATTCTGCTGCGTGGCAGCTTTAGAGGCTTGTCTGTTGCCGCTGCCAGCGTGCCGCGCGTGTTTTGCCGCTAGTGTGCTCCCCGGCCGTGCCCATTAGTGGATGATTTGCATATTGTGCTCACCGAGTTGCGATCCTGTAGTTGACCTGTGCGCATTGCATGCCCTCATTGCAGCGTGACTGTGCACCTGACAGTAGATGACGTCAACGAGTTTGCGCCTCGATGGGAGGAGGAGTCCTACCAGGGCAGCGTGGACGAGGGCCGGCCACCGCACGAGCGCGTGCTTCGTGTGCGCGCTCTCGACGCGGACTGCACGCCCAAGAACAGCGAGATCTGCAAGTACGACATCTTGGACTCGCACGTGCCCTTCTCCATCGATTCTGAAGGTGAGTACTCCACCCACTCGTGCCGGTGTGGCTGTATTTTAGTGGTAGCAATGCAAAACAGGACGGCAAAATGAGATATGCATTTGTGATTAAAGTTTAGCATTTTTAAAAGAAGCTGAGACGGCAGGCTGTACTGTTTGCTGTCAGTAAATGTCCAGCTTGCAGTTTTTCTAATTGTTGCAGGTTTGCTTTCATTGAACACCCTTGTCTTTTTCTCTCTCTACATTTGAATAGCATCTTTTTTCAACGTTTCTAGCGAAAGACTGAGTTGAAATGATGATGATAAAGTTGCGTGCGGTCACTGACGGAGTCGTAATGATCCGGTGACAGCACCGGATGTCTGTCGCCGGGACGACGCAACTAACGCAACTTCAAGACAGAAAAATGTTTTACGTGCCGTTGCTATGGCGACCAACGTGGTCGCCGGCATTGCTGGTGTTCGCAGCTCGTCGGCTCTGTTCGCGCGCGGAAAACGCGGTATGCGCTCCCAGCTCTAGTTACTAACATGACATAGCTGCTTTTCCTGACTAGAAAGTTCATATTTCTTGGGAAGCGTTCGTGGCTACGGCAACGCATTTTTCTCTTGAAGTTGCATCGTCCCGCTGATAGGTATCCGTTGCGGAAGGGTGGGCTGGGGGGGGGGGGGGGTGTAGAGTGATTTCAAGTGAAAAAGAAGAGAAAAGTGAACCCCGTAACTGTCTCTCAAAGGGAGGACAGCTCAACAGTAGCTCACGAGGGATGGAGGTAGAGAAGGGATTAAAAGGATAGGAATAAAAGGTAAAAAGACAGAGAGGAGGGAGAGAGCGAGGCACAGGGACAGCGAACGACGGCAAGTGAGGAGAAGACAGGAAATATGGACACGGTTGCACGAGTCCGAGGACGGGGCACCTTTGGCGACAGCTCTCGTCGGCGTCAGGAGACAGCGTAGGGCAAATCCACTAGGCCAGAGCTACGCTGTCGTCGAAGATCGGCGTCAGGAGATGGCGTAGGGCCAGCCCAGTCGGCCAGAGCTATGCTGACGTCGGAGATCGTGACGGCACAAGCGGTCGGCACGAAATCCAGCGAGCGAGTGTATCCGTTGTGGTCAGTGGACCGATATGCGCACAGCTTTGTTACTTTATCTGGTCGATCGCGTCTCGCGAGTGCCTTGACCTAATAGGATTAAGGTTAGCGTAGGTAGGTTACCGTGGTTTCAGATTAGAGTTTGCACGGTTGGATTGATTGATGACTCAAACTGCAGGCTGGAATCAGCGCAACTGAGAAAATTTTGAGGCTGGTTGGGCATTTCGGCGCAGCTCGGCGCAAAAATGGGGAATTGTATCAGATTGGTGCGATTGGTACAGCTGTTGCACCCCTGCCGAGCGTGAGCGGCTGTTACTTTATCTGGTAGAACGCGCCGTTTGAGCGAGCCGAGATGTTGTGCCCTAAATCGTTAAAAAATACGAGGAGGAGGTGGGGGGGGGGGGGGGCGTAGTGGGGTTCGAAAATTGATTGGCCTTGTTCTAACCCTTGCGAAATGCTGCTTAAACCACCTTCGTCGCAATACAGTGGTGTCCTGCGGAAAAGCGTATTATGATTTGGAAGGGGTTGTTAGCATTGCTCACGGGACTGCAAATTACGTTCAATTACTCATGCGTGTATACTACTGCATAATTGTGAACACTAGTACGATCGCTGACGTCTGAAAAACTTACTGGCAATCATGTGGAGCGGTGTATGACACTTCTGCCGCCCTAAATAGAGAAAACAAAGAGATACTGCACAGGTTTTTTTTTTTTTTTGCCACCCCTACTCAGTGTCACGAATCGCTTGAGTTTCAGTAGGGTGGCCAACAGAGCCAAGCTTGGTTAACCTCCCTGTCTTTGCTCTCTATTTCTATCTTTCCTTCCCCTTGAATTTCAAGGTCACCAGCTTGGCTGACCAACATTTTGATTCACTGATTCTGTCAACGGATTCGACAAACGCAGCAAGTGCTAATATGGAGTTTATCATTGTTTGCTCAGTGAGGTAGATTGAAATAATAGTTTTATTGAAACAGCATTGCTCATGTTAACTTTGCATGATTTAGGTAATGTTTAATGGCTTGAACATACTTTATTTTCTAAATGTAAGCCTTATTTGCTCTAAGTTTGGTCTTTCGTGATGAAAAATAGATGTTTTATTCCCCATAACCTGCTCCAAATTCACATTTTAGGGCTCCAAAAGTATGATTCTTCTGCTCGAAAAATTGCTCCTAATTTTATAGGTTGTTGTACCCCTGCGTAGATGAAATCACATGAGTCATTTTTGCATGCTTCATTATCACAGTGTAATTATCAAACTCGTACAAGCCCTAAGACATCGCATGTCTTTTTTCCTTCCACTTGTTCAGTGATCTCAGCTTCTTCATCATCATGTTACCAGACCAGACAAACTTTTTTGAAACTTTCGGCAACATAAAAAGAAACAATTGAAGGGGGCTTTTTTTCTTTATTAATTTATTTAATTAGTTTTGAACATTCCAGAAGAGATGTGGGCACGATGTGTACGATAATGCGCAAACCTGCATAAGTGATATAGAGTGGACAAGTGAAGTTATCGGATGAAAGACATTAACAGTTGGATATTGCTAGAAGGGATAGGCTTTTTTCCAGCAGTTTGCATTAATTCATTTTATGGTGATGATCCAGCTTAGCAAGCATACTTGTTTCTCATTTTGTGTATTCAGGCATCATCTGGACCACGGAGCCCTTGGACTGGGAGGCAAGCAGCAACCACATCTTCCAGGTGGTTGCCTTTGATTGTAGCATGAAGCAGAGCCACCCAGTCACTGTCACCATCAAAGTCAACAGGGTGTGCAAGGTCGGATGGAAAGGTGGGTCTTTCGTTGTACTAATTACAGCATTTAAAAATCACTTTGGAAGTTGTCAGGCTTTAAATAGAGGGTTTACAAAGTGCAAATCACTGACTAAAGTCGGTATAGAAATGTCATTGCAACTGAATTTCTGTTTCAGTTGTTACATTTTGCAGATATTACCGTAAAATTCCGAGCAAGCAGCCTACCGGAGCAAGTGCAGCCATCCATTTTTTATGTGCCCCAAGGAGTGAGCAAGCGGCCCTCTCTTCTCTCCCGTCATTTTCAGTGTGTCGGACTGTTGCCATTCACCCGACGTGGGCCGAAAAAAAAAAAAATGCAATGAGTGCATGCGTATTCAATGAAGCATTTCATTATTAATGCAAATGTACATTCTTCATTTATAGCAGCACTTGCACTGCCGTCTTGAATTTCGGTCCGCGACCGAGCAAGAGGACTCTTCCTCAAAATTCTCGTCAGATTATGTTTCATTGTAGAGAGGGCGCTTGCTCAAGATATTACGGCAACTCAGAAACACAATCGAACTAGCACAAGCTGTGAAACAGGACGTTCCTACGTTAATTAGAGAGATTTAGTTTACTGCACGCAAGGTGCTACATGCACAACGGCTTGCGCACTACGTGCGTTACAGCTGAGGCTGCAGTATTAGTTTAGCAGTAGCACGAAAACGGACACATGGACTGCGCCTAAGCGTCAACACCTTCGTCTTGGAGTGGTACTTGGCGCCACCTAGTGACTAGGCAATAAACTACAAAAGCCAACCATAGTTGGCACGAGTCAAGACACAAGACATGAAAACTGAGGATATTCGGGGCGTTGAAAGGCATCCCCGGTAGATCCTGTATTTTCACAGCAATAACTGTCCAATGCACGGGGGCCAAGAGCTCCAAATCAAGGGAAATCGTAAAATGCATGCGGGATTTACTCACAGCCATGACCGCACTGCTGCTTGTGCTACTGTTGGTCATGGCCATCTTGAATTTCATGCTCTCACCAGGTGGAGATCTCGCTGAGAGCCACTGCTAAGATGCTCAACGGCTGTAGCGTGCGCAACGTAGCGCCGTGATCTAGTGTACGCATCCTGTCACGTGTGCAAATGCACGCATCTCTTTTATGTACAGCGCATGTGCAGCCGTGCTCCCTCTCTGGCGATGCGTGCGCTAGGCCGTTGCCTGCACTAACTAAACCTCTCTATTGAACGCAGCCACAGTAACACACTCATAGAGTGACCCCTTGAGCTTTACTGTTTGCAACTTGCAGGCATGGAGGAACATGTAGAGTACACTCCGGGATCTGGTCGGAGGGCCCTGTTCCCTGATGCGCAGCTGGAGCTGTGTGAAGGAGCCTGCGAACCTGAACAGCTGTCGGCTCGTCTGACCCTTGCTACACGTCACGTGGGCAAGGGGTGTGACCGGGACACCTACTCGGTCGACTCTCAGAGAAAACTTTGTGGTCAGTGAATCGCCACGTTTACTACTTTTTGCTTGTCACTTTTGGGTTATTTTGCAGTTTTGTTTGAAGTATCGTGCTGCTGTGCAGGATGTGATCGTTGTATCGTTAGTATCTTGACAATGTGATTCTTATCAGCACTGCCTGTAAGACTGCAGCACTGTGTAATCAAATTGTACAGTCACCTTGGTCTGATTCAGAATGTTCGATGATGTCGTATAGCTAGATGTAAATTGTCCGAGCCTTCACGATGTTCTTAGAATTGAATTCGATTCCGGATATTCCAAATCTGTAGTTTTGTATTTCATTAGCTTATTTGGCTGTCACTTTGTGATGGAGATCACAAGAGCGTAGTGGTAAGAAAGCAACTGGCTTTGTCTGAGAGGACACAGACTTGCCTGACAATAAAACAAAAAAAACAAGCTTTCATTTAGATTACTGGCACAAACTATTGGGCCTTAGTAAAGTTCTTTTATCTATTCATACATCCATTCATTCATTTGCTTAGTTCTCCATGACCTGTCTGTCACATCTGCGTCCATCGCAGTCATCTGGCATTGAGGCAGCGTTGCTAATCGGTACACAAACTTTTTTTGCAAGAATTGTCAATACGTATTCCTGTTCTTTGCATAGAATCTGTTAATTGGACAGAACATTTTTGGGGAACGTACTCAATAGACTCTATTCAAGGACTCTGTCAAGCTCTGCCCTATAACAGTGCCCTATAAAAAACACAGTGCCCAATGAAAAAGACGGGGTTGGTAATATTTATTTTTAAATCTGTGATCTGTCCTCATTGTGTATTTCTGAAGTTGAGATCTGACCATGTGATGCATTTGTAAACACCCATTTTTCGATGTTTCTATTGTCATATAAAGGGTGCCAATGTAAACTGAAGCACACAATATACATTCAAAAAACAACTACTAAAAATTCAACTTGCGTAAAGTCAAGTTTGAATGACTTGCTGATGGCACATTAAGTATATGTCATGTTCAGGAAAGTCTGACTTGATATATTTTAATTTTATAGTCTTAAAGGAAAAATGAAATGTTCTCTTTTAGAATGGCCTACCACATATCTGTTATAATGCTTGTAAACATTTCTCTGTGTGTTAATGCAGGTGCCAGCTCGGACAGTGTAGACCTGCTGCCAAGTCCCTGGCGTTGGAGCGGAGTGGACGCAGGGGCTGCCAACAGACGAGGGTCGTGAGAGTGACCAGATCTACGAGTTTGACTGGCGCCACCAATGCCGTCGTCATCCCCGAGTCCACCGTGTCGCACAACCTGACCAACGTCTTCACGGTGGGCTTCTGGATGCGCCACCGTGCGCCAACTTCCCACAATGCCAGTCACCTCAAGGAGCATGTGCTATGCAACTCCGATGACCACCGTACGTGTTGTTGAATTTGCTGTGCTGCTTTTCCACTCGTGATTCTGAGTTCACCGATTACAAGCATTATCTTTGGCCGGTGATTACTTTTACTAAGTTGGCTCTGCTACTACACAGTCACTCTTTCAAAAGGCAGGCCCTCTTCACAAAAGTTGTAGTCAATGCTGTGTTAAGGCTATATTGAATGGAGCTTATTGTAACGAAACTGTGTGCCTGTCACAAAGTGCATCCTGTGCATTCCTAGGCTTATGAAAGGGCTGTCAACTACATTGAAATGCAAAACGATATGTGTATCGATGGCACATAAACTCGACAGTTTAACTTTACAATGAGCATACTCACTGCAGTTGTCACTTATGTGTTCTTCTGATGAATGGGCAAGGTTATGCCGGTTAAATAGCTATGTTTTGACTACTCATTCTTTCCACTGGGGGCCATCACTACCCTGCAACAATTTTGAACACCGGTAAATTGAATCACTTGCTGTAAAAGACACTTGTAACATTTCCTTGGAAATCCCATGCAAAAGTATTGCAGTACACTACGGTGTCCACAGAACTTATTGTAGGGGGTCGCATCTGCGAAGGGAGGGGCGCATTCAGTACTAGCGGCCTTTCTTTCACTGCCGTGAAATGACCAGCAAGAGTAGTCAATGGGGATTTTTTGAATAGGGGACCCAAAAGTTTGGGGCCCCAAGGAAATAGCGTAGAGGCCACTGCTCATTTGTGAAGCTCAAACCGCATTTGGATTTTGCGTTGGGGACGCTATTTCTCGAACTTACCGGAGCCCCAAGGCCTGCCCCAAATGCTTTGCATCAGACGAACGTCACAGCACACACTGAAGTGACGGCTCTTGGCCAAGACTAGAGTGACTGAAAATTGGGTAAGTGTCTAAAGTGCCAAACTTTTGGGGTCCCCTATTCGAAAACTCCCTAGTGGTGCGCGACATTCATTATTGGCTGGCAGTCCTGAAGGCTGCGACCTGAGTGTGCTAATAAGCTATATAGATTAATCCTACAGCACAGTAAAGTATTATGCAAAGTTCGAGAGAGGGTTAGCCACCCCCCACCCCCCCTTGCACTCCCCTTTGAAGCCTATGGCAAGGCATATGCAAGTAGCGAATTTCCATCCACCTGCACATCCAAAATATCTTGCTGGACCCCTGTAAGTACGCCTTTTCTAAGTGACTTAAGCCACTTGCAACATTAAAAGTATTCATGCCCGCTAAACGGTACCATCTTGGCAGATCTTGTCATGCGGGTTACCGATACTAAAGGACAAAGCAAGATAGATACAGAAATTAGCAAGTTTGCCCCAAATACGTGGCGTGAATTTTCTTTGCCCCCTATAATGAAAAATTTGTATGCATGTGTGAATATTTGTGTGCTTTGAATACTCAAACAAATATTACAGTATTTTAATCCATTTTGAAGTGAACTTGAGGTGGTATAAAGTTTGAAGTGTTCATAATGAACAACTAGATTATGAACTGCTTGTAATCGCTTGCAAAGGTAGTTTCAATGCAGTGGAGAGATGCTATACCATGATTACACCTACCCAAGGGAAAGCTGCACTGCCACGAATCCCCACCTCAAGCAATGAACAATAAACGTATTATATTGTACATTAAATCGTCATTTTTTAAAGTGTGAAAGCTTGTTATACCTTTCCATATGCTCTAAGTATACTAGTAAATTTTAAGATGTAGTGTACCTTACAGGTTATCACGTGCATTCTACTGAAAGTTAAATCCTGCTACATACTATTGAGGGTTGTTCGGGCTTCCCGTTGACCAAAAAAAAGAACGACCTTTGTACATGCCTTGTTTCAAATTGAAATGATGTGCAAGTTAGCTAGGTCATGACAAACATGCTCACTTTTTTTACAATATGTTATACAGCCTATTTGATTTAAATTCAAAATTAAAACAAATCACTCTTCTCTGTTAGCCTGAAATTTACTATTTGCACATGCCTACAAATCTGCTTTAGTAGGCTTCACTGCAATACAGCTTGTAAAATGCAAAAAAGAATAAATTATAATATTGAAACGGGCACCGTAAGGTAAGAATTCACACGAAAAAAGGGAACACGAAACACACGCGTCGACTTTCAACTGAACTTTTATGCACATGCGCAGAACCTAAATAAATATACTTGCACGCGTGGCTTCTCACAGATAGCACGCACACATAAACATATGATAACCAGTCGGAGCAACCAATAAAGATACACAAGAACAAACAGTATCTAGCTCTACCCATTCGAGTAACATTTATGTATTTTGCAAAGCTACAGACGGGAAGCTGGTGCATGATTCTTCTTCTTTTTGTATGTGCCAAGCTTCGATAATCTTTTAATTTATAGGCTCTCTGGGTATATATTTATGTTCTGCGCATGCGAATAAAAGTTCATTTGAGAGTCGGCACTTGTGTGTCGGGTTCCCCTTCTTTGTGTGCATTCGTCATACCCTGTGGTGCCGTTTCAGTAGTATGAATTCATACCAACTTGCCCAGCTGTCAGTCCTTTTAAGAATAGATTAGGTGTCTTTGCTTTAGCATTTCAGTAAGTTGCCCGGTTAGGGGTTCTTTTAGTCAGCCCTGTTTGTGCCGCTGTGAGATGTGAACGTTTCAACAGCCTGAAAAAGTTTAAGAGCAAGTTTTCTCTCGTAACGTTCAGGAATGAGCCGGCACCACACAGCTCTGTTTCTGCGCAACTGCCGGCTGATCCTGCTGCTGCGACGAGAGCCTACCCAGGAGCAGGCCAACAAGTTCACTCCAGCTGAGTGGCGGTGGAAGACGCCCGAAGTCTGCGACGACCGGTGGCACCACTACGCCGTCTCGGTCAACTTCCCCGAGGTGCGTGTGCCCTTCTGACTAGTCTCGCTCTGTGTTTTTCATTCCGCCTGAACAGGACAGAAACAGAAAGTAACCTAATTATTGGTTGGTTGCAAACATCCCGTGGTGACTCAGGCTATGAGAGATGCCGTTGTAGAGAGCTCCGCAAAATTTAAACCACCTGCGGATAATGAGATGCGAACATTGATATTGCGTGAATACTCACTACATGAGCACATTCATATGTTAAATCGAAGTCTACGTAACCGCATTGCGATAGTCATCTGTTAAGAGTGCAGAGATGTAGAGTATGCCCGAACAACTGTGCAGGCATCGCTTTACGTTGACGGGCGGCCCTTCAAAGTGACGGCCAACAACCCCGAGATCGTGGATGACTGGCCGCTGCACCAGACCAAGAACATCAACACCACCTTTGTTGTGGGAGCCTGCTGGCAAGGTATGCGGTAGCTTCCTCTGCAACATTGCTGCAGGCGCTGTAATGGTTGATCAGGCAATGTTTTCTGGGCAAAGTGAGGACCCTATTTAATGAAACATAGAAACATAGAGACAGATAGCATACGTAGATCAGCTCTCTAGAGGACCTGCCTGAAAAAACAGAATTATAGGCATTAACTCAGCAATTTCTGAAAAGTATGTATTGAATCAGGGTGACATACAAGGTCTGTCAGGGTGAAATGGCAAACACTTCTCCAGATGCAGCAGCAGGCATCGAAGTGGGTAATGTAGTTCTAATAAGGCTTGATCGTATACGACGCTGCTTTACTTGAGAGCAATCACAGTGCAAGGAAAGACACGGGACAACGAGACCAACGAAGACGAGAGCTTGCTTCGTTGATCTCTTTGTCCTGTGTCTTCCCTTGTGCTGTGATTTCTCTTGAAATGAAATACCAACTATCCCATACCCAGTTTTCTAGATTGCTTGAGAGACAGGGCTCAGGCCATCGACATCGACTTTCACGTTGAATAGCTATTGAAGTAATACATGCGCCTGCGGCGCATGCATGTACAGGCAAGGACAACAAAATGGCGTTCCACTTCCGTGGCTACCTGACCGGCCTGTCAGTTCTGAGGGGACGCACAGAGTCCCCTGACGTGCTGTCTTGCCTGCACCGTTGCAAGGAGTGGCTCGACTATCCTCCTGCGGACTCGCAGGCTGCAGGAACGGTAAGCACAGGATGCCACTTTGTTTTTTTTGAGGGATCCTTGTTATGAGTTAGTGATTTTGGTGGTGGCAGTGACGCTGTCGTATGCAAGAAAACAGCTCTGACAAGCATACAGAAACGTTACCTTCAAAGCTGCTCCAGTTACATGAGTGTGTGGGCTGCTTTCCAGTAATTGCCGTTCTCTCATTCGTGGGCTTGTCAGCGATCAGCCGTTGTGGGTATAGCAATCAGATCTTTTATTGAAGTCACTTTTCATTTCTCATTTCCATGTTCCATTGTTGCCTGCTTACGAACGCATTATCATCATTGTTGCCTGTAGCAGTAGAAGCATTGTGTCGCTGCGCGTGGATAAAGGTACAATTATCAGCATGGAGGAATGAAACAAAAAGAATGCAAGAAAGATAGTAGTATGTCAGGCACACATGCACCATATAAGCTTTGCTTGCCACTATTCTCCTGTTAGGAGAAGGGCTCCTAAATGTATTTAGGCTGCTCTCTCGGAACACGCTGACACACTAGACATGGTTGGGCAAACCAAACATTGTGTACTTTTGTTCAACTACTTTTACAAACGACGATATCAGTTGCCAGCCGAATCAAGTGCATCACAATGACCCACTATACAACCTTATCCAATACTCCAACGGACTGAATCAGCATAACAACAAACACAAGGTAACGCGTAGGCGGACTCACCGTTGTTCGACTTGTCACGAGAGGATCAACCGGACACGACTCGCAGTCGCCATATCCCACTGACCCCCTGTGGACCCCGAAGAACTCCATCCAAATCGCCGCCCCAACACCAAAAAGACTCTGAAATGTTTACTGTGCGGCGTCCTAGCCTCTCCGCTGGACGGCACTGCTAGCACTACCACACTAACCATAATGATGATGTTGTGGACCTGTGTGAGCCCTGTGCCATTTGTTAAACCTAAATGCCGCCTATCCACAAGACACGTGTGCATCACGAGGCGCAAACTACATTACAAGGGATGATAGCACCTCCACAAGGCTTGCTTTCTCCATAGGTTTTCAGTCCCAGTTTTCAGAATAAACAGAAAAAAACCGTAAAAAGGGAGCGCTACACAATCTCGTAAAAGGAAAACAGCATAGCAGGTTAGGCACACATACGCCAAGCTTCACGTTCCCCCATTTACCCGACAAAAGGAGGGACTCCTGCGTTTCTTTAGAATGGCTGCAAGATTACACCCTCTATCAGTTGAATGGTGAATGAAGCAAAAGGACAGATGTACCAGTCATGAATGATGCATGTGCAACAGTACGACAGCTGCAACGAGAACTGCAAGGATGTTTTTGAAGATAAGTCAATTAGCTGCAAAGCGGGGGCCATGTAGTGGCTATGGTCCAACTGAAGTAGTAGCTGACTTTTCACAAAGTAACCCTGTTCACCGACAAGGCCACATGGTCATTGGCAGGCATAGACAAGCAGCATGGAATGTAGACAGGCGTGCTTTGAAGATGAGATCCGAATGGCTAATGATATGAGACAGTCGTAGTGTGAAGAGTGTGGGGTCTAGCAGGGAGTGCAGCTCTCAGTGCGCTCGAAGACAGTCACGCCGTCGTGAAAAGTGTGTACATTTATTCCTTGCTGTTACAACGGCGATATTGCCAGCCGGACCTGATACGTCACTAGTGACACGCTAAACAACCTTATATACCATTTGTCAGTATAACACGCAAACAACATAACAATGTACCGTGAATGCAGCATTGCCAGCAATAGACTGATTACGAGGGATCCACAGGACGCGACCCGCGGTGTCCCCCATGGGCCCACCGCAGGAGATGACCGTTGACACCCTCTGCTAATCCCCAGTCTCACTACTATTTCCTCTATGCCGGCCCAGCTTCTCCGCCGTCATCTGTCCCTAATTCATGCAAACACAGCGCCACCTACCAATCAGCGGCTGTTAATCCTAAATAAAGCTAATCCACAAGACGTGCGTGCGCCTCATGGTGCATGTGACTGTACAGGGGGTGATAGCGCCCCCACAAGAGCGGGCAGGGGTACAGTTGCAATGAGAGGCTAATAAGTAAACTTGTTCGAACAATGAATTTTATGTTCAAAGCGAATGGTGATCTTGGTCAAATAGCCTCGAATCAAGTTCGAATAGTACATATAATATGTTCTAAAGAAAAATGGGCACATTTGTCTTGACCACCCGCACAATATTTTTTAAAAATTGAAACGAGGCCTGTGCAAATGCCCTCTTCTTTTTGTTGAAAAGAAATGGAAACAACTTTGAACAGTAACTGAATTCCTCTTTTGTAGAATGCAAATGATAATCTGCAGAAAATGTCATGTAATAATATTTACTATACTTGGAGCATATACGCTCTTATAGCAAATTTTGAAACTTCAAAAATGATGACTCAATGTGAGATTGATATGTTAATTTAGCCTTGAAGTGGGGCTTCGCAGCAGTGCGGATTTCTAACAACTAGGTGTTTTCATGGCTCAACACTTCTTGCTGCTGTGAAGCAACTTTTACAGGAAGTTACATGCAGTTCCACATGTTTTTAAATTGGTGCTTTCATGGCTTACCATCCCTCCACTGCAGTGAAACCACCATTTCAGGTGTTACACATGGATTAATGTAGACCTACAGTCAAACCTCAATATATCGAACACGGATATATCGAATTATTGCCTATATCGAACGGTTCCTATATCACGCGGGAAATCGCATGCATTATTGACTTTTTATTTTGAACAAAGTTTGACATATAATGGATATGTCGAACTCAGCCACCCCAAACCGCCCGCGCTCCATTGACAGGCGGCGAGCTTTCCCGCAACTCTCGAAAGTAGCGGTAGAGCGGAGGGTGTTTACAAATGCTGCACACATCGATGGCGCCGAATGCGCCACTTTAACGTAGCGGCGTACGCACGCCGCAGCCTTGCGGTAGAGGTTCTTAAATGAGGAAAGAGAAGAGAAAAGCGCTGAGCTGTTATCGTCCTTCAATACGAAGGCACCGACACGGCTTCGCGCGGGAGAAAGGCGAGGTAAAGATTAAGGAGAAAAGTATAGGAGGGAAAGGACGCAGACGACTCTCTCGGACGCGGCCCGCGCTGCCGCCGGGAAAGGGAAAGCAGTCAGGCGAGCCGGCATGGGCGCGCCATGTGCGCGCTTTACACCCGCAGCCTTGCAGCTTGCAGTCGTTGCAGTCTCTATGGTGTCAACGGCACACTGCGCACTTGTTGCAAGCTCCTCCCCCGTAGCATCTGCAGGCATCGGTCGTTGTGCTCGCAGTGTTCGTGCGTTCGGAGTTAGGCCTGTCGTGCGCTGTGGTGCCCGACAGGCCTAACTCCGAACGGCGGAGCTCACGGATGTGGAGATTGTCGCCGAAGCTACTGCTGAGCAGCCAAATGAAGACTCTGCCGAGGTGGATCCCGCAAGCGCTGATGGTGCCTCGCTCCCGACATCAACTGAGGTCGTAGCTGCCTTGGCCCTTGTGCGCCGCCACTGCGGCGCGATTGAAGGCACCGGCCTATCACTTATGGATCGCCTGGACTATATTGAGGACACAGTCGTCAAACACGCCATGGCCAACAAAAAGCAGGCTACTCTTTTTCAATATTTTAAACCAACACAATAAATACTATGTTTGAATCTTCAAGTGAGTATTTACTGCACCATACTTGAACAGTTCGTTAGTTGTTTTGTGCAAGCTGTTGACGCTTTTTTTTCGTGATTTTTTATATCGAATTCTAGATATATCAAACTATTTCGTGATCGCCGCGCTGTTCAATATATCGAGGTTCGACTGTATTCGTTCCTTTCAAATACTTGAATATTTTAAATATTTTAAATTCAAATCGAAGTGAATTCAAATACTGTGGTATTTTTTTTTAATATTCAAACTATTGGAATATTTGCACAAGCTTACTAATAAGCACATACAAGCCAAGTTAAACTGCAGACATACACCCCAGTTTTCCACAATGCCTTCCCTGACCCCCAACTCGATTGATGAGGCTATAATAGGTACAGTAGCTGCAAATCTGCAAATTCATTTTGCACTATTTGGGTTTAATTCATTTGCATTGAATCTGAATGTATATGCTTATTATGCACTCACGTGAGGAGTTGCAGTCTGGAAAAGCTAATCTATGCAGCTACCGAATGAGAGCAAAGGGCCTATTACCGTAATTACTCGAATCTAACGCGCACCTTTTTTCCGGTTAAGCGAGTTCATAAATCGCATGCGCGTTAGAATCGAGTACGAACAAAAAAATTACGGTCAATCTATTGCCATCGGCAAATCCAAAATGGCCGCCCCCTATGTGCGTCGGCATGGCGCGTCGGCCATTTCTGCCTATGTGTTTCCCATGTGCGGCACTTCGTACGTGTGCTGAGGAGTTCGTCATCTAGTAGTGCATTAGCATCGACGGCGTGGAAGGGCCGACTCCAAAAACTCGAGTGCACCACGATGCCGCTTTTAAAAGAAAAGTCGTCGCATGTGCAGAAACGGACGGAAATCGGGCCACATCGCGGTCGTTCGGAGTTCCCGAAACGTGCGTGCGGGACCGGCGGAAACAAAAGCAGAAGATTGTCGACAGCAAAGCTTCACGCAAAGGCTTCAGTGGACCACAGCAGGGTCGGTTTCCGCAAATTAAAGAGCTGCTCGGCGAGTATGTGCTTGAGCAGCGAGCGGCACAGCGGCCCGTGACGACAGCCAGTTTAAAGCGAGCAGGTGCTGGCTGACTAACTTTATCAAGAGGAAAGGCTTTTCCCTCCGAAGAGGAACATGCATATGCAAAAAGTTTTGCGGAGGAGTACGATGAAAAGCTTCACAGTTTTCAGAGGTTCGTCCTAAACTTGCGGCGCAACAACGGCTACCTGCTTGGGCAAATCGGGAATGCCGATCAGACGCCTCTTTACTTCGACATGCCTGGCACCACAACCGTCGAGAAGAAGGGGGCGAAGCAAGTTCGCGTGCTGACATCGGTCCACGGTAAAACTACAGTGACGGCAATGCTCTGTTACACGTCAGATGGGCACAAGCTTCGCCCGTACCTCATATTTAAATGGAAGGCGCTCCCGAAAGGAGTCATTTTTTCGAGTGGTGTGATCGTGCGGGCCAGCGAGAAAAATGGGTGCGCGTTGCAATCGATGTCTTACTTTTTTTTTTTTTCGCGGTGGAAATCGGGTGCGCGTTACAATCGATGTCTTACTTTTTTTTTTTTTTTTCGCGGTGGAAATCGGGTGCGCGTTACAATTGAGGGCGCGGTAGAATCGAGTAAATACGGTACTTACATGTATGTCACTGTTTTGACCAGTAAGAATCAGTGTTCTAGTTTTATCTAGCTCCAAGCATAATGCTGTGAGGTATGTGTTTGGTTCATGGATAGTTGGATCAACTGCAAATGCTCGCATTTCAGGACTTGCAGAGTGTGTGGTAAGATGGTGTTTCAAAGCGTTTCATGAAGAATCTGTACTATGTTCACTGGAGATTTGGGCATGTGTAGAACAGGAAAGTCTAGCAAGAGTTTCATGAAGAATCTGTACTATGTTCACTGGAGATTTGGGCATGTGTAGAACAGGAAAGTCTAGCATTGAACTATTCTTGCTATCAATATACCAATCAGCACTTGAAGTGACTGGATTTTTATGCTGTAACGATAGCAGTTGCCTTCTATTCTTGCGTTTCATAACTCTAATGAGTGCAGCGCCCAATATTATGGCAATACAGTTGGCACTGTTGTATCTCTGTCAACACATCACTTTATTTCCGTCGCTGCAGGAGGTGACATCCAACTCTGAGCGCAGCGAAGTGACAGTGACGGCCCGTGATCAAGACACCCTTGAAGACCTGGTGTCTCGTGTGGCCTACGTCAACTCGCGCGACTTTCCAACACCAGGTCGTCGCACTGTTCAAGTGGCCACAACTGTCATGTAAGCATACCATGGTAGTGTGCTAGAAAGGTCCATTGTAGCAGAGATGGTGATTTGTGGTGTTTCTGACTTGATGAATCGGAAGAAGCCAGTAAAAGCCTGAGGAAAGAACCCTGAACCTTTGCAAATCATTTGCTGATGTATTCATCTGCTGGCTAGAATTCTGAAGCAAATGCTTGAAATTTATCAAGTCTACCGGCAGTGATGCCTAGCACAGGAGTAAAAATGCTCCACTAAGGACCGTAACCGATAGTCCGTCTGCCCACATACTACATACGAACCCTTGAGTTGGTGCTTAACATGTTTTGTTTGCATTCATAACTGAACCAAGGCCGCCACCCCACTGTGGGCACAATGTTATGTGCAATTTTACAAGAATACAAAAGCACACATGATGTTTGCGTGTCATCTTATTTGCTCTCAAATCCGCATGCCTCATCAGTGCAGGAAATGAAAGCAATACGATACAGAGTGGGTTGGTTCTAAATTAACAATGGAATGCATGAACCTAAATAAACCAGTGGAAAGGCCTATTGAAATTTTAACCTCAATCAATTTGTCAAACACTAGGGCAGCATTGGCCAAATCTGTATTCTAGAAATAAACTCTGAAAAAATTGACAGTTGCTCAGTCAATCTTATCTGCTGTTCTACCTATCCCTACGCTCTAGGTGCAGCAACGGTAAGGCACAGAAAGTTCCCCCAGTTGAGTCGTGGGTGACCATTCTGGCAGCCGAACAGCCAAGCATCACTATCAATGGCACACCCAACCTGGCACGCGAGTACGAGCCTTTCAAGCAGGGCATCGAGCTTTTCGCCTCCGTCTTCATCTCGGTGGGCCGCGAGCGTCCGACTACTACGCAGGCCAGCACGGCTTCCTCCTCTTCGCAGGTGCGGAAAGAGCTTCTCTTGTTTATGAGTGTGCGCGTGAAGAAAAGCAAAAGTGGGCTGAGAAAATTTATTGTATTTCATGTTATCTATGACAAGCCGACCTAATAGGACATAAGTAAACATTTTGTAACTTCAGTTAGATGGAATGATTTGGTGTGTTGTGAAACTAGCAGTGCCACTTAAGTCAACATTTCGGCCATGAGTGTGTCCTCGTCAGGATGACAGCGAAAAGTGCTCCCTTTGTCAAATTGTGGCTCCAGGGTCACTTCTCGTAAAACTTCAATTAAGAATCTGTATTCTGCTTAAGAGGGGACGCGGCACTTCGGGACCGAAAATCAGCCAAAAAATCGAGTTTTCGCGGACCTTCTTTTCGCGTTCCCGACATCATTGCGCACCTATTTACAAAATTTTATAGCCGAATACCATCAACTTTTATCGTTATTCATCTTTAAAAAACCGAAAACGGGCGTCCTGCCCTTTAAATTGAGGGCGAATAGCGCAGGTTTCGGCTCTACGATACGCGGGAACTACGCGCTCGATCGGCGCCATTTTGGTCTTGTTTGAAAGAACGCGTTTTCAGCCGTTTTTTTAATTCAGTAAGCAACATTGAGCGTTTCCCCGGCTCGAAAAACGGGGCCTCAAAGACGAAGAGCCGCGCTCACTGCCATTGGCTAAACGGCGCACGTGACTGAAATGGCGCTTTCCGGTTGGCTGGAAGCTCGCGGCTTGCGCCTGCATACGCGACCCGACGCCATTTTGAAAGGGTTACCGCTGTGACGCCTCGAAATCGGCAGAGCACTCTGAAGCTTCTGATCGTATCGCCATGCCTGGAAATGCAAAAAAGTATCGGACCGTGCACGCATTTGGTCGCAGGAAACGCAAAGGTCGTGGGAGAAAGTCTACGAAGTCATCAGAGCCCTTGGTTGACTCCGACGAACGATGTGTCGACGCTCCGCGGCCGTTCAGTGATGGTGCGACCGAGCGCGTTGCCTCCGACGACGATGACGGTGAAGCGAACTCCGGACGACTACGAATCGACGCCAAGGTGGTGACAAACGCCGAAGTTGAAGAAAATCATGCCCGGGAGAAAGCGACGCTCGACCGGCTTTCATCGGCGCCAGCAACTGCACGGAAAATTGACTTTTTCACCGCGAGTTGTAGCGAGGCAACCGCACAGGACTCGGACCACGCTGCTCCTTATCTGCTTATGCATCTAGATATCCTAAACGCGATAATGGGTGCCTTGTGTTGCAAAGCCTGCCACGGACCGGCTACGATCGTCAGAGGGGATCGGGACTACGGACTTGCCGTGAAAGTGCTAGTGCAGTGTGAAAGGTGCGGCGAGATCGCGAATGAATGGACTTCGCCCCGCGCGAACGACACGAAAACGTGCAATCCGTTTGAAGTAAATCTTCTCGCTTCGAGGGCGATGGTGGCTACCGGCAACGGCCAAACGAAAATGAACGATATTTTCGCAACAATGGGCATCTCACACCGCGGTATGCACCACAAGACGTTTCAGCGGCATTTGAAGAACACGCTGGCACCCGCTGCAACGCGAGCGGCTGAGTCCGTTATGAGTGAATGTGCGGAAAAGGTTAGAACAATTTATGATGACTTGTGCTTCGGCCACCGGGGCAATATTGCCGTTAGCTACGACGGCACGTGGAAGACGCGAGGCCATTCTTCCCACATCGGCGTGGGCACAGTTATCGAATTATTTAGTGGCTACGTGTTGGACTACGTCGTTCTTTCCAACTTTTGCCTAGGCTGCGAGGTGGGCCCAAAGCCTAGTAGTGAGGGCTATCAAGAATGGAAGGCTAACCACAAATGCCAAAAAAATACGAACAGCAAAGCGGGGCAAATGGAAGTGGAGGCGGCTCTAATTCTATTTCAGAGGTCGCTTGAACGCCATGGCCTGCGCTACACAACTATGCTGTCTGATGGAGACTCTAGGACATTTTGCGCCATACAAGACGCCAAGGTGTATGGTTACATTGATGTGCAGAAGGAAGACTGTATTAATCATGTACAGAAACGGATGGGCACCGCATTGAGAAACCTGGTGCAGAAACAAAAGTGCGATGGGAAAAGAGGCCTTGGTGGGAAAGGCAGGCTCACAGGTGAGCTGATCACCAGGCTGAGCACATATTATGGCCGGGCTCTGAAATCGCATGAAGGTGACGTGGGCGAGATGCAAAAGGCTGTAATGGCCACATACCGCCACGTCACCTCCACTGATGAATGCTCGGACCACAGTCTGTGCCCAGCTGGTGAAACTTCATGGTGTTGGCACAATGCCGCAAAAGCAAAGGGTGAGCCCGACCCCAGGCATGCCTACAATCTACCGAAAGACGTGGCAGAGGCATTACTACCGGTTTATACCCGGCTTTCGGAAAGAGCCCTGCTTCAGAGGTGCGAACGCAGCAAAACGCAGAACTCCAACGAGAGCCTACATTCGGTAATCTGGAGTTTGGCCCCCAAGGAGCACCATGCGTCCCTGTTCGCTGTTGAAGCAGCTGTTGCAGAAGCAGTGCTGCGCTTCAACACGGGCAATTTGAATTCTGCAACGGCAATCTTAGGTGAAATGGACATGAATGCGACAAGTACTGGTGCCAGGAGAGCGAGAGAAGAAGACCACCGTCGCAGCATTGTCTCCAACAAGAAAAGAACAGCCTCATTGGAACTCCGGAAGCTAGTGAAGAGGAGGCATGAGCACAGAATGCATTCAGACTATGCTTCTGGTGCGTTTTGAGGTTGTCTTGTTGCATCTTCTGCAATAAAAATGTGTGCCCACGTTTTTCTCGATTTCTCAAAACGACAATTTTCATGTGCTTCCCATTATGCCGGAGCAATATCTCTTGTTCTATCTGGGTTATCATTACGATTTCTTTTTTGTTTCGAAGATAAATGCAGGGGATGTGTCGTAAAGTAAGTTTTATTGTAATAATTTTTGGAGAAAATTCTCTAAATGGATCTTTTGTTTCAAGTGTAGATGGGAATATTTTTCATGTCATATTCAACATCCCACAACTTTGCTTCGAAATAGCCCAGAACAATGATTTATACTTTATTGCACACTGTGAACATACCGAATTGGTTCTATAGGTTGCACATCAATATCCAAGTTACAGTTAATTAGCTAATTAGGCCTTAATTGAAAAAGTCGCAGTTCATTATATCTTTAAAACTAATTGTCACAGCAAAAAAAAAAATAGATTTTTGAAATCAGCAGTAAAATCTACATAGGCCCTCCAAATTTGACTGAGGTACTCACAAAAATAAAAGAGTTTTTGGAAGGTGTAGCATCCCCCCTTAACTTCTAATGAGATGACTTGGAAGTTCAATTTTAGTTGACTAACTGTTTGTTGATGATTGATTGATATGTGGGGTTTAACGTCCCAAAACCATCATATGATTATGAGAGACTCCGTAGTGGCGGGCTCCGGAAATTTCGACCACCTGGGGTTCTTTAACGTGCACCCAAATCTGAGCACACGGGCCTACAACATTACCGCTTTCATCGGAAATGCAGCCGCCGCAGCCGGGATTCGATCCCGCGACCTTCGGGTGACTAACTGTTTGTTAACAGGCTGATAATGACATTCAAACCTCATTATAACAAAGTTGCATCTTAGACTAAAGTAAGTTTGTTAAATCTGAAAAATCATTATAAAAGTTTATTTCTAACACTATATCTACTACAAGACTATTTTCATTTGCTTTATTATAACCGATATTTCATTATATTCGAGTTTGTTGTTTTGAGGTCTGGGTTATAAAAGAGAAAACGAAACTCTTCATTACATTTTCTTGATGTTGTGCTAAAACTGCGGTGCCGGTACTAGAATGAGCTGTTATTAGTATCTACATTCAGCATTTCTGTCATAAGTGCTCTGACTTCGTAGATTTGTGGATTCGATGACATGGCTACAGAAGGTTGCCCTTAAGTATTGACATAAGGATTTTAGCCAGTACCACTTTTGACAATAATGATGGAGACGAAAAGATCCTCTGTTCAGATAGTCATAGTGTAGTGCAAAGACACGAATACAAAGACAAGATGCACAATACAGGCTATGCAGCACCTGTGTTGTATGTCTCCATGTGTTTGCTTTTGTGTCTGCGCAATGCTCTATGACGATCAGCAAGCATACTCGTTCAACAAGTTGAGATTCTTTATAGTACTGTGGCATCGCATAGTTCACAGCCAATGGCCCTGCCTCACTCATTCGGTCATGACGAATTGCGTGATTCACATGAAGCGCACGTGTCGCCTTTGCAGGAGGATGAGGATGATGACGACGAAGAGGACAACCAGGTGTCGCCACCAGTGGCTTCCCAGCGGCCCGGACGGCTGGACTCCTGCAGTGTGCAGGTCTATCCTCCACTGAACCCGGACCACGAGCACTTCCAGCTGCCGTCGTACATGATGGCCCACCTGGGTATCCACCACCGAGAGAGCAAAGACGGATTGGTCATTTACGGTCAGTACGATGATATTGCACGTGGAAGACTGTAGCACGATAGGAACTTGCACATAAGTGACGGGGTGCTGAGGGAGTCTGTAGGAATTCGTGAAAGGCACACAACAAAGATTTTGCGTGTTGGACAGCTGACCTTTTTATAGCATAAAGATGGTTCACCAACAAATGCAGAATGACTCAACCCTTATTCATAAATGATTTCAAATAATTCGATGATCAGGGTGACCATCACAGTTCATCAATATGGCCATAAAAATGCTTGCGCCAACTGCCAGTGGAGCTCTTGATTTATGAATGCGCTGGTAACGTTAGGGTGACATGACTTATGCGTTAGGGTTATGTGGCTTGCAGGAAATTTTCTTTCTTATCGCTCCCTAAAAGTTTGAAGTAAATTGAAGGTACGACAATATTGGTGTCATGAAATGTGCTACAGAATGGGAGAACACACTGAATACACCCGGGCAGCAAAGTTTTTCAGTCCCAGTTATATTGTTGAGCTGGAAATTTTTCCCACGTGGAAAAATTTATGCTTCAGTAATCCGGCTGTTTTTTTTTTAATTCAGCTTGAAAGCATGCAATTCCAGCTAGAAAACATGCAATACACATAGCATTGTGCAACATTTAAATTGGCCTTCAGGGTTTTACATAAGTGACCCAAGGTCTTCGGTTTTGTTACCCTGACTTCACAAAACAGAAACCTTCTAAACTGCACTTTTGGGGGTTGTGTTACAGAGCCAACATATTCAAAGAATGGCAGTGCCTTCGAAGTTTCATGAACACATTGAATTTATGCCGCTACTAGCAGTAACTGCAGAGTGTTCATATCCTCAGAATTTTTGCCGTCTCAGGCACATTTGTCACTTGAAACATTCGTGATCGTACTTTGTTGTAGTTCTTGCCCTCAAAAAAGATTGTAATCTTTTGCTGGTGAAATTACAATCGTACTCTTTATAGTGTTACGGCTGCCAGTATATTCTGTTCGCTGATGTTTGTTTTGTTCTCCTCAGGAGCTGACAAGGTGCAGCACTATGAAAACGTGTTGCGACAGATTCTCTACTTCAACAAGAAACCTGCCTACTACCTGAATCGTGCTTTCAAGTTGGTCTGCTCAGAGTTGAATGGTCGCTTTGTCAGCAACGAATACATCCAGACAGTGAGTTGACCCTGCTTGTAATTATTGCTGTTAGCAGATTGTCGTAGTTGAAAAAAGATCTCACTGTTCAAGATCGTCTGTAGCAGAGCAGGGAAGCAGCCAGGAATATTTTCCAGCAAAGCCAGGTGTGTTACACCTTGCTATGTTACTGGACAAGATGTTCGGTAATGCATGTAAATTGAAGCTTTAATTTTTACTTACTGGCGCATTATTCTGCAGTTGTCGCCAATGTATAGCATCTATTTTTCGTATTATTCGTAAGTCGTATTACTAAGCTCGGTTTCTTTGCATCTGTCGCATACGCCATCATTTCAAAGGCCAGTGACTGCAGAGGGAAATGTTAATCATAAGCAGCAACTCCAGTCTTCGTGCGAATAATTAAACACTTCCGCGTATCTGTTCATAGAGTGATCTTCCGGGGCTTAAACTAAACATGCAAGGTGAAATTGTAGTTGCATCGCGCAAGCCGGAACAAAAAACTAGGCTCGTGCTAATAGTGAATTTTAGGTTTGAAGTGAATAGTGATTTTGGTGGGATAATTTCGAATTGAACTCGAATAGTATATATGGCATACAAAGAAAAATGGGCATATTTATCATCACCTAATTGACCTGAACAATATTTTTTCATATTGAAATAAGGCCTCCATGCAAATGTCTTTTTTTCTTTCACAGCAAGTCGAAACAACTTTGAGTAGTAGTGGTATATGAGTTTCGGTAGGATGCGAGTGATAACCTGTAAAATAGGTAACATTTTGAATTTTATTATACTTAGAGCATATAGGCTATCATAATAAGCTTTTGAGCTTAATAAAATGATGAATTGATTTGAGGGTAGCATGTTCATTTAAAGGGGCCCTGCAACACTTTTTCAAGTAGTCATAGAGCCAGTAAAGAAGCTTGTTGCCTCGCAAATTTACCACCGCAAAATTTTTAAAATGAGTCCAGTACAAGCAGAATTTCGAAAATTTGTCGCACGCTGCAATTTAATTCTCTCTTCTCATCCGGACAAAATAGCTAGAAGCCAAACAGGGAAGAATGGCACGGCGAAAAAAAATACATCACTCGTACCTCGTGACCTTGAGCGCCTGTTTCTTTTTTTCTTAAAATACGCAGCTTTTTTAATGTGATTGCGGGCGCACGTGGGCACATTGCGGATCCAGTGACGACCGAGCGCGCCATGTTCAAATCTGCTAATGGCTGATACAATAGCTGTGATGAGTGATTTTTGAGCTTGTGGTGTCATTTGCCAGGGAGAAGAGAGAAATTTTCAACTGACATTGAGAATTTATTGTGAATTGCAGGATGGGCGTGCTGCGCTATAATATTTGGCTTCGTGTTCTTGGAAGCCTCAGCTACTGTTCGGGAGCGTTTTCTGACCACGCTCAAGAAGTGTTGCAGGGCCCCTTTAAATTTGCAGGGGGGCTTGGCGGCAAAGCGATTTTTTTTGGATGGGTGGCTTCTCTGTTTAGCATTTCGACACTGCAGTAAAACTACCTTTACATACATGTCAATACATGAGGATCAATATACACCTATTCGTTCATTGCAAATACTTTGAAATTTCAATAGTTTAAATTATAATTGAAGTGAATTTGAATACTCTACTATTTGTTCGAACATTTGAAGCATTTTAATATTCGCACAAGCCTAAAAACTCATGTTTGGTACAAATTAGTGCAGTCTTGTTTGCAACTTCAGTGGTGCATATTCCACAGGCTACAGATATTTCATCAAGAAAACATGTATTCAAGAATTGCACGAGCGTCTCCTTTTAACACGAAAATGTTTTATTTTGGGATCCACCACAGCTTCGTTGATGTATTTCTGTCACTGTTATGATGTAGAATATATAGTACTAACAGATTGCAAAGAAAAAAACTAGGACGAAAGGTTCTGTTGCAGAAACCAGCGACCTCGCGCTCCACAGTGCACACGCGCTAACCACTAGGCCACGGAGCGTATGCTGACCACCAGGCCACGGGGCATACACTGTCAAACTCGCTGACGGCAAGCCATTTATATACACCATACAACATTTGGTAGTCCTCAGAGCTCTGTAACTTCGGAGCGTTTTCTTCATCAGTAGCGAGATATCTGATGGGCTCGCGTTGGGCGCGCCTTCAAGGTCTTCGCCTCTTGTGTTTCATTGAGAGCTGTCTCAATGAAGCGTGGCGTGGCCTCTTCTGGGTGCGTGGCTTATCAGACTTGTGGTTCTAGAGAGCACAAAGGCCACTTTGCTTGCTGCTGCGGCCGAGTTTACGGAAGGAGCATGGTGCTCACACACGAAGAATTGAGATTTGTGGCAGTTGTTCGCGCTTGTCCTGTGTATACTTGTGCGGTCATTTCCCGAGTGTTCCTTTCTGTTTGAACAGCGCGTTAAGTGTCGAAGCTGTGACAGTTGTTAGTACGTGCTCGTCCTGTGTATGCTCTCTTCGTACGTGCTTTCTGCTTGAGGTGCAGGCTGCAAGTTTCGAGCTGCCTGCCGTTCTTTGCGTGACTTCACAATTCGCTGCTGTAGCATTCATTATTTCGCCCTTGTGGCGAAATGATGCACAATAGATGCTCAGCTACCTCTACGAAGACACGTTTCGGTTTAGTGTTATACCAATTCTTAAAAGGAGGGATCATCCACGTTTTTTGAAAGAATGGGAGTGGGTGGGTGGGGGGGTTAGAAGCAAAGTCAAGGCAAGTGGTGGTTGGTATCAAATGCTTTCTAAGTGATATTGAATTCTGGCAGGATTTGAATAGAATGCAAGTTAAAGGTAGAAAAATATGATAAATCTTCAAGTTTACCTCATTGCACCCGTATAAGTCCTTATAACAAACTTCAATACATTAAAAAGAAATTTAAAAAATGAGTCAGTGTGCTGCTAGTATGCACATGTAACCCTGAAGTATGGCTGTATGGCAGTGCAGATTTTTTTTAGTGTTTCACAGTATAACAGCCCCACTCTGTTGTAAGCCCACCATTTCAGGCAGCTTACGTGCAGTAAAATATGTCTATGCATCATTTGGAGTACTTAAAACTATAAAAAATAGTAAGCTCTTGTGGAAGTGCATTGGAATGCTGTAATATTTCTTTAAATATTTAGAACAATACTATTTGCCCATTTTTAATCATTTAGTGCTATGGATCATGTCCATGTGTGCTCTAGTAATACACGACCCTTCGTTCTTTTCTTGTGCTTTTAGCTGACAGTGATCCACCCACGGCCAGAGTCACCCAGCCAGCACGAAACGGCAGCGCCTGCTACCGGAGCAATGCGCACCACTCCAGCCTCGCCATCCTCTTCACGGCCTGTGGCTCCAGCCGCACCTGCCATGGCTGCTCACGCACAGGTGGCATCGCACAGCGTAGAGGCCAAGCCGGCAAAGACACATGCAGGAAAATACGTGGAACTGCTCGACGGCGGTGCTTCCGAGGCACTGGCCAAGAGCTCTGCGAGTGAGTGGTGGTCTTGCAATTTTTTGCTGAAGCGGAGCTTCATTACAGATAATTAAGTATTCTGCTCTGTTTTGCTAGTCTCAATATAATATTCTCTCACTAAATAGAACCTGAAGGGAGCAAGAAAATATGTTCCGTTTACAGGGGTTTCATTTGCTGTGAGATGAATAGGGGTGCATTATTCAGGTACGAAACTACAGTAGACTCGCGATAATTCAAACTCTGAAAGTTCATACTTCCGTTCAATTCAAACAAAATTAGATTTTCTGGTTGGCCCTCTATACTTTCTGTGTATTTGGAATACTCTTAATTCATACCTTTTGCAGTTTCATACTGGAAATTATCTGATGGTTTCCCACTACTATTGAAGGGGGGACGCGGGGATCAGATCGCGAAAATCTCGAAAAGAATCGATTTTTGGGAATCACTCATTTCGGCATCTGCAGTGCTTATTCTATGCCGTACCAAACCAATTTGGCTGAAAACCATCCCCAAATGTTTGAAAAAAATAAGTTTGTCAGTGCGATCGGCAAGAAAGAGGCTCAATATTGCACAAAAACACCGATGTTCACAAAGCAAGTGTTCATCTCTCGCGCCACCGATCGCCGCCATCTTGGTATCCTTCGAAAAGTCGACGCTTTGCCTTCCCGCTTTCATGCATTCCAAATATCACCAGCAAAGATGAAACGTGCAAAAAGCAAAAAAAAAAAGCACGTAGTTATACGGGCAATCCGAGGGCCGTTTTATGAAATGGCACCTCCGATTGGCTGGCCCGCTGCAAGGAGGCTCCCCATTGGGTGCTCTCACGACAATAGAGGAGGAGCTGCCGCGGCCGTCTGCATTGAAAACCACGTTTCGTGCATGTTTTTTGACACTTGTTGTACGCACGTCGTTATGGAATCACGCTCATTCAAAAAGAAGTTTTTGACGACTCACTCGTTGGGAGAACCAAAGCGGAAGCCTCCTACGGCGAAAAAAAGGCGGCGGTTAGTCGGAGCAGCAGAATATCCAACGACTGTTCCGAAATCAACGGGACACGTGATTGACATGCCAAGTTGCCTTGCACCGCGTCACCCCCAAAAACCCAGCAGTGAATCCTACAGTCGCACTGTGACAACATCGATAACGTGTCGTCTGGTGGTCTTCACGGAACATGGTCAATGAAGGACGCATCCAATGCTTCTCCGAGTACAACGACCCTCGAAGCGCAGGTGCTGGCTCGCGTAGCCGACATGAAATCGTCGACTATCGTTCGGATGAAAGGTCGCCGCCAAAGTCTGCCAAAGTGCGCCCGTTATTTACGAGTGATCCTCGCCCGTCGACAAGCTTCGACGTGAACGATGATTCACCGTGTGCGCTCACTTCAAGTTGCTCAACGCCGTCGACCGAGCGCCGAGATGAAATTGCTGACAGCCGTTGCGATCAAAAGTCGCCGTCGCCGGCAAAGCCTGCGGAAGCGCACCTCTTATCAGGGAGCGTTCCCTGCGTGTCGACGAGCTTCGGCGGGAACCTTGATTCACCGTGTGCCAGTGGTTTGAAAATTTACACTACGTCGTCAAACGAATATTGCACCATTCAGGCGCACTTGAAGACTCTACGTATCAGCGGGAGCAGTGGAGGCGCAAGCATCGAGCGTTCGCGACATTCTTCGCGCGGTCCTCACCATGAGCTATGCCCCCTTGGTCGTACGAGCTGGTGTACACATAGAGTTGCAGAGGCACAAGGACATGCACAACCAGCCCACAAGTACAAGCTTTCCAACAGTTGCCAAAGCACTGTTGCCAGTGTATGAACGCCTTGCAGACACACAGCTGCTTGAGTGGTGTAAAGGAGGGAAGACACAGAATGCAGCTGAGAGCTTGCATTCTGTGATTTGGTCTCTCCTATCCAAGGACCAACATGCCTCCCTTTTTGCTGTAGAGACAGTTGTAAACGAGGCAGTAATGAAATATAATTCAGGATGCGTGCTTATGTACTCGGAAACGAGTGTTACATTTAGTGTGAGTCCTGGTTCCATGGCTCTCCAGAGGGCTCAAGAAAAAGACTGCCTGCGTCTCAAAAAAGCACGTAAAAGTGAAGAAACCAAGGGACAGAGGTCCAAGAAGACGCCTCTTCACGGTGATGCCAAAGACTATAGCCCTGGGGCATTTTAATAAAGGTGCAACATTTGCAAAACTTTAAAAGGCATTTTCTGTAATGATTTTTTTTTCTGTCAACCACCTTGCTCGTGGAAAGCATTGCGCGAATATGGCTGGAGTGATTTTCATTCTTTTTGTTTTATTGTAACTCGTAGACTTTGCCATAACTGAAGGCAGTCTTCAAATATTAGTTTAGGCTTCCATTTTTTTTTTTAATTTCACAGTCACTGAAAGGCAGGACTTGATGAAGCACATGCATGTGCAAATAAGGTTCAGCAGATTATTGTTAGGGCATTAAAAGAAAACCTGGCACTGTCTTCGGCTAAAAGCAATATGCACATACATTAAAAGTTGTTTCAGCACTTAAGCAAGTTTCCTTGCTATGCCAGACTCTCCACGAGCAACAAACTCAATAATTTTTTTATAAAATGAAAACTGGTAAAGATGTCTTTATGAAAATTTGCATTCATCTCTTTAATGTGAATTTTAGTGTGTATACATAATTTCATGAACCTAGGCCAGGAAACAAAGAAGTTAAAAACGATCCCCACATCCCCTCTTAAGAATTTGCATGCTTATATAATCCTAACAGTCTAAAAATGACACATAAGCGTCCCTAGGCCCTGGGGGGAAAAGGCTTTGCTATTAAACTAATGTTCTAAATGAAGCACACACACAGTAAACCGTGATGCTGCTCAACTGGTACAGAGATGTCAGTGCTCAAGGCACATTAGCAAAGAACAAGTTGGCAATTCACGATTTCTTCAAAAGGTCTGATCAGCAGTAAATGGCCAATAAACTTGTGGACCCTACACCTCTGCTTTTTGCTCATTGGGTGCTGTTAAGGTTTTAAAATGCTTAATTGAAAAATTGTTAAATGTGACGAAATCAATGCCTGAATATGTGTGGTGTCACTTAGCCCCAATTTATATATTTAAGAACTTCTGATAATTCAAACTTTTTGATAATTCAAACAAAATTTAGAAGTCCATTCAAGTTTGAATTAACGAGTCACCTGTAATTGTAGCATGAGCAGTCGCTCCACTTAAGCAGCAATTCCGTTTAAAAGATTTCGATTTACTGGGAGTTTACTGTAGTATTTATCACCCGATTGCACATTCTATATTTCACCCCTTCCGTCCATTTCTAGTTAGTACATTTAATTCTGTGAATTGCCTATGCATATCCTCATAGAAAGGAGCAATGTGGCATCAATTGAAACAAAAGACATAAGTGACGATGAAGAAAAGCCTTGTCTTCCTTGTCACTTAAGTCCTTTGTTTTGTTTCGCAGTACACCATTCCTCGGATATGGAGCATATGAAAGTCTATATGAAAACATTTTCGGCATCATTACTAGGCTGCCATATTCTGCCAAAGATCATTTTTGATGCTTTATTTGATCACCTTTGTTCTTGAACATCTGTGTTGCTGTGGATACACGTCTATAACCTATTACCGTATTTACTCGTGTAATCCTCGCACTCGCATAATTCTCGCATCCCCGACATCGCCCGACAAAAATATGATTTCTTTTTTTCCTCGAGTAATTATCGCACCCCTGAAAATTGCAGCAATGATGTCGTCTGCTCGTTCCAGCTACTGATGATGATAGCGTGCACCATCTCCTAAGCATAAAGCGTACTATTATTGAACCAAAATTCAATCCAATCCAATCCAATCCAATCCAAGCCAAAGTGGCAAGTGCGCGTTGCGGCGTGATTTGTATGTTGTGTCTGTAATCTTGTTACGTTATGAGGTTATACGGAAGATACACGGCTGCTTTCAAGTTGAAAGTGATTGATCATGCACTAAACAGCGGCAACAGGGCCGCCGGTAGGCTTTCGTAGTAGACGAGTTTTGTGTTCGCTACTGGTGACGGCAGCTGAAAGCCACCAAGACATGTTGGGCCTTCCGTGTGCCTAAGATTGGGATTGATGGTAAACTTTATTTCTTCAGAGGGCAACTGCGGATGATTCTGTTAAATGGCCATCAGCCCAATGCTGACGTCCTTCGTTTACTTTTTGCGGACTCCTGTTGAGCAACGAATGCTACCGCTACGCCCGCATTGCCCACAAGCTTTGCATACTGTATTCTATTTCTCGACTATTTGATTTCATCTTTTGTGTCTCAAATAAACCTTGCCTTGTGTTGAACCGGTGTTTTTAATGTTGTGAAGTGAGAATCCCGACCTGCGGCCACTTCGTATTATTTTTTGCTCTGTACGTCTTCGCGGAAAGTTTTCCCCGCGTGATTCTCGCCCCCCCCCCCCCCCCAACATTGCATCGGTTTTCCGCGAAAAAAAGTGCGAGGATTGTGTGATTAAATACGGTAAATGAATAGAAAATGTGTTTAGATGTGCTGTCTCTTGCTTCTTGTTTGACTCGCTGGACGATTTTTCAGTTTTGTCAATCTGGTCCCATCAGAATAGGTCAACTCTACTTTGTTTTCAATGAGGCCATGGAATAAAAGAGAGAGGGACAAAGAAAAATGACGAGACATATTCACGTCCTGTGTCTTTCCTTTGTCCCTGTCTTTTCAGTGCTATAGCATTATTGGATGTACCAAACCAACTAGCCCTAAAATCTATGCTCCTGTTCTTTTGTATGTGCTCACTATACTTTTCTTGTGTGTGTCTGTGTCCTTTTCACACTGGCATTGTTTTTCTCTGGCGATGCAGGTCACGCAGTGACCATCATCATAGTGGTCTGTGTCGGCTTCCTGGTGTTCATGATTGTGCTCGGAGTGATCCGCATTCGCGCTGCGCACCAGCACCAGCAGCACCGGCAGGGCAGTTCACGCCTCCGCTCAGGGGACGATCAGGACCAGGAAATGGCCTGGGACGACTCCTCACTCACAATCACTGTGAACCCCATGGATGTAAGTGGACCACTACTTCACTAGCACGAGGCATGCCTAGTACATGTAGTGTCTGAAGGTGCACCACAGCCTGGCGGAACCTCTTTTTTTTTTCAGCCTTTGGTGCCTGTTACAAGATGAAATATTAGACAAAATGCCCGCTTTCACAAGCTTCCTGATGTATTTTCAGAGAAAAACGACTTTTGGCTTAGAAGCTTTACAATAGCTGCAGTGGTGTATACCTGAACTATGCACAGCTACGTAATATTCTGAGGTGGTATCCGCTGCAGTTGCATTCTTTCAACTTTTCATAACTCATTACCGCCATTCAAGTGTGATGATAAGACTTTTCATTGCAGAATAATTTGTGCCCTCGCCCCCTGTCTTAAAGGGGTCCTGAAACACTTTTTCAAGTAACCATGAAATGAATTCACTGGAAGAGCTTTATGCCTCACGAATTCAATGCCAAAAAAATTTCAAGAATTCGTCCAGTGCAAGTGGAGTTGCAAAGATTTGTCGCAGGCTTCAATTGCATTCTCTCTTCTCTCATACCGATGAAAGTGCTAGAAGCTAAGCAGGGAGGGATAGCAGGGCTACACAAAAACGTCACGCGCTCAAAGTCACGTGCGCCTCGTGACCTTGAGCACTTGTTTCTTTTTTCTTTGAATGTGTAGCTTTCACAGTGTGATCGCGCGCGCATGCGTGGACAAGTAGCAGCCTCTTCCAGCGATCTCTGTAATGACCGAGCACGCCATGTTCAAATCAGCTAATGGCTGTTAGATGGGCTTTTTATAAGTGATTTTTGAGCGTATTTCGTGATTTTTTGAGAGAAGAGAACGCAATCTTTAGCTGACTTTGACAATTTATTGTGAATTCTAGGCTGCAAGCTACACTATAATATTTGACTCGCATGTCGTCGGGAGCTCCTACTAGTGATCAACAGCGTTTTCTGTCCGTGCTCAAAAAAGTGTTGTAGGGCCCCTTTAATGAGCGCTCTTACGGCCAAGCGTTTTGTTGTGGGGGATGTTTCATCCTCCAAAAGCATACTCTTTGTCTTAGGCACTTCTCATCTAATAGATGGGGGGGTTATCTTTCAGCAAATAGCCGAAGAAAGGGAAAACCGTCGTGGCGTCGGCGCCAGCACCGGCAGCGGGCCAAGCAACGGTCGCCGAGCCGCGGCCGAGGATGACGACTCGGACAGTTCGGACGACGGCAGCAGCTACCACGAGGAGAGCGAGGAGGAAGAGGGGGCTCCTCCTGAGAAGGCTAAGGCCAAGGGGGACCTCGAGTGGGATGACTCGACCCTTACCTTTTAGGGAGAGAACTGATGGGCGTGCCACCTAGGCAGCAAAAGTCTCGCATGCCCACCGCAGTGGTGAAGGAGGCAACAGTTCCTTCTCCTTTATTTGTTTCTTCTTGTCGTTGGCCTCCCTCAAGGCCACAGGTGATCCGTAACGCCTTTGTGATTGCAAAGGCCGAGCAGTGCTTCAAACAAGGACACTTTCAATTACAAGGAAGAGTAAGTGTTTGCAGGCCTTCCTCCCTTCTTTTCTCCTTTGTGCGTCATCCTGCTTGCAGCACTGTTTGGCTCCGCATCGCATCCAAACTAGCCCGGGCGGCTGGACGCCCACGTTTCATTTCACCGTCACGCTGCGACCGCAGCACAACCACAAAGAATGCAGAAACGAAGCGTGGTTCCTCTTTTAATTCGCACCGCTGTCGCTGCGCAATTTAATATCGAAGGCGTTGCGGATCACGAGCTGACCCCTACAGCTGCAATCGTTACAGCGATCCAGAATGCCACCTAGTGTGCTGACCGGGAGGGGCTTGCACGTCAGTGTCTTTGTCTTCTTCAGCCGAAAAAAAAAAAAAAAAAAGAGGATGGCACAGCTTCTAGGCATGGCTGGCTGTCCGAGTAACTCAGCCTGGCTGATTCCTGTGGAACGGTAGGGACAAATGCAGCGAGAGTTGCATGCTCATGCCGCGGCATTGCGAGCAGCTACCTTCAACGCTTTCGGTTTCTTGTTTCCGTAAAAAAACTATTCAAAGAATGTTACTGCGAGCTTGGGAAGTTTCTTGTGGAAGCACACCCTCAGCTGAGCTGCCCACTAGGTAGGATTCTAAGTGCTGTACCACGACTTTGTCAGCTTCTCCTGTCGACAAAAAAAGAAGTGAAGAACGTGTCTCACTTTCTTTCTCTCTTGGCTTCTTTTTTTAAAACCGAAGTGTGTACTTCGTGCTGCTCCCTGATGCGAGTGACCCCTGCCCAGCACGCACTCGCTATCCGGTGAAAAACACCTATCTACCACAACTAGGCTGAAGGTAACGCACGATGCTTTGGCTGCAGCGAAAGAGAAGCCAATGAGACAGCGCAGATCGGAAGCCGCAAAGCTCTCTAACATGTCACGGTTTCAGTTTCACAAAACAATTAGGACTCGCTCCGCAGAACGTGAAATCAGTGTGAAGGAAGCACATGCACTAGTCGCAGAAGCAATGATATTTACAGAGGAAAATGCACTTCCGAATTGGTTTTGTCATTTTAATCATGCATGCAAGGAACTGGCCATTTTATTCTGGCAGATGTTTCATTGGCTTCACCTCTTCATAAAGTATACACCTTCAAGGTTGTCCTCGCTTAATGGAATATCTGCACTTTTTTAGGCACTGTTATGCCAGAAAGGTGGTGTTTCCCGTCACTCTGAATGCAAAGATTATGCCCCCCCCCCCCCCTCCGGTGCAAATCTCCGCTTTATGCCGGAAAACATCTGTGTGTTCGTTTGCATTTGTACAGCCCCCCCTGCGTGATACAGTACAGTGACTCACAGTGGACAACTGAGAGTTCTGGTGCCCTACTTCTATTTTTCTTTTCTAGGTTATTATACCAATCTTTCCACTATTCCCTTGGCTGTAGAAAAGTTTCTAATTCTTCCTCGTGCATGAGGGCACTACCGTATGCGAGAAATTCATTGCAGAGATCGTTAAAAATGTGACCAGAAACTTATTATTTAGGCCCATTAGCTGTCGGGGATTGGTCATGTGGCATGTGGGTCTCGAGAAACAATGGGGAATTTCCAGTTGGCTTGAATTCACAGCTACACAATTATGGCCTAAGACCATGCAGAGGCAAGCCCTAGAAAAGTGTTTTAAAAATGGATGACAGCTTGTTGCACTTTCTGTCGCTGGGTCATCTTGCGCATTTCCGATTCGTAGCATTTGAATGTTTCAGATGGAAAGATGTGCGGTTTGCATAACTTTTCAAGACGCTCATAATCAGGCCATTGAACTGTTGTAGCTTTTTTGTTGTTGTTTTTTAGTCTTTGTTCATCAGGTTTGAGCTGCTTGCCTGGAGTGAAAGACGTTTTTCAGCCTGGCATATTGGGCAGTCTGCTGTAGAAGAAGTGTTGAATTAGCTCATGTGACACAAACATGTCAAAGATTTCCTCCACAGCTGCGCTGCCTGCCAGCGTAGTTTTCGCAACATCAGCTGTAAATTGTAACGTATCGGTGTTCTGTTGTTTCCTTTCTCCCCTCGGGGGAGTGATTTTCGCTTTCTTCTTTCGGTATTGTTCCTGAAGAGTCGGAACAGGCCCCGATCGTGACGGGTCCTTCCTGCTTCCCTTTCTTTTTCTTTTTTCTTTTTGCTTTCGGCTACATATTTATTTGTGAATGCTCGAACTTCTAGAAAGGAGCCAAAAAGCACATTTTTCGTTCTGAGTGAACATTGTTTTTTTTTTTCCCCTTTCTTCGGAGTTCCAGTTTACAGTGGGTGTATGGTCAGTTTTATGGGGCACTCACGGGACTGCAAAATGCAGCATGCGAACTTCGACACATTGTACGCGTCGTTTGACATCAAGTGCTGTTCATAATCACGCATGGGCTTACAGAAAGCTCTGCAATTTTCTTCTTTCTTTCCTCTCAAAATGCCAGATAGGCCGTTCCTAGTGTAAAATAGGAGCTGCAGAGAGCTACGCAACATAACTTCAGCCATCTGTGGCTGTTCGCTGTTGCACCCAGGCTCCAACTTCTAAGACTTCACTTTTGATCAGATTTGAGCAGAGTTCGATGATATCTCGTGAATACAAGATTGCACAAGAGACAATTGAGGAACAAGGAACCTCTAAAGAAAAGCATTTGTACTTTTTCAAGTTTCTATTATTATAATGTGTCTTCTCTCCACAAACGTGCATGAACTCACACATAGTATATTTACGCTAAATTTTCCTACTGTGAATACCGATAAACAATGGGCAAATAATTGACGGTGGTATCACATTGCTGGTGTTGCAACATCATTGGCTTCTTTGATGCTGTCGGAGGAAGCGTTAGCGGTTTATCACATTATGCCTATGCCTACTCTCTTTTTTTTCTCTATCCTATGCTGGGTTGTCGAGGATAGACCATGTAACATTGGTTGTGGTTGGCTGTGCCGAAGCGGAAAGAAGGGTTAAGCGCGTCGTTCCAGCGAAGACCCGTACCACACGGCGCTGAGCAGGCGCATCTCAAGACTCGACAAGGTGCGAGAAGATAGCAGAGTAATGCAGATAGGCCTGTGCTCTGAGGCGTTCAGTGTGTGTGAGTGCATCGAATCGCATGCTGTCGTAGTCCCTTCAGCAAAAGACATATAGGTGAATTTGTTAAAACACCCTTGCCGAACTTGCAGGCTGATCATGTGCTTCAAGGCTGCCCATTTATTTCTTCAGTTTTCATTATCTCGTTAATAACATTTGATGGATTTTTTATGGATCAATTGGACTTAGCATACCTTGTTTAGTGAAATTTTTTTTTTCCTTGAAGGCCTGTTATAACATTTGGGTGGGACAATATCATAAGTCCTTTGCTGGTTTGTGAACTGTTTTCTTTTTACTGTGTCGCACGTGTCATGTTTGCTTGGTGCCTCTGTAGGCTGTGGAGAGGCTGAAACTTGTGGAGGTGTGTGTACCTTGAGTCTTGCATCCGACTTTCGACAGCCTGCGCAGCTTCATGTGCTCTAAAAACGCACATGAGGCGATTGCTAATTATAGTTCCTCATTTTGATTATAAAGGCATTGGCAAAAACAGCAAAAATGCAGTCCAAACATGTTTTTATAGAAAGCTATGACTTTACCCATTCTGAATACTTCTTCGCAAGTTTGAAAAACCAACCCGCCTTTATTTAAAACAACTTAATGTTCTTTTTCTTTTTTTCAAAGCCATGTTTCTTTATGGCTTTAACAACAATGTGTCAGTAGCTTATATTTCATGATCCCATCGCTTCTTTATTTTGGCAGCTTCTATTTTTCGTTTCTTATTTTACTCAAACTGAATTTGGGCATTTTTTTTATTGCTCAAGAACAAATTTTCTCTAAATGGTTTGTGAGCTGTTAAGTTTTTAAATCCGGCGCTGTCACTCACGAGCTGTGGTCTCTCTTGGCCGATTACTCGAGCCTATGCTATGTTCATTGTGCATTTCTAACTTCTCACTTCATGCAGGTATTGCACTTTTTCACATATGACCCACCCCTGCAACCCTACCTACCACCAGTGCAAGACATTTTTTAAAATCGCCGCGTTTAACGTGATGCCAGTTCTTTTCATTGGCGTAAAGAGTTGTTGTGAAGCGACCTTGTGCTTTGAAATATGTGTATTACTCGCACTTCGACTTCAACTCTGAATTGTCTGCTTCATTTGTATGAGCTACAAGTGAAGAAATAAGGTAGTGGGGCTTTTGCAGCATTTCTGTGTGATGACTTGCAGCACAGTGCAAGGATGTGCATTGTACTTGAATGTAGCATTAAGTGGCAAGTATTTACTATGCCTCAAATGCACTTTCACTGGGTTAAGTTGACTTGATTTGTTTCAAGCGTAGCCTTTTCGAAATCAACATTCGTGTATGCAAGAAAAAAGTATTTCATCATGTTAACAACCATAATCTCAGTGCCAGTGTCACTTGAGTATCGTGAACAAATGTGTCGCTCGTAGCTTTGTATCCTTTTTTTTTTATTATTTGTACTTTAAGGTTCTTCAGCTGGGACAGTGCTTTTATCGGCATCTTTTTTGTGAACTTTTTCTGCCATGTTGTAGGGTGTCATATTTCAGCTGTTATGTATTTGAGCTGCACTTGTGTCATCATTCAGTAGAAGATTTTTTAAGGTTTTTTGCACATACACTCACACACATATAGCACTGCTGTTTATTGTCCTTCACATATTGTTATTTTTTTTTTAAACGCGCGTCTCGTTTTCTCGAGCATTTGAGGGTTGTTTGAGGGCGTGTGGAACATCGGGAGACGACGACGACAACGGCTGCAAGTGTTGCTTGTTTTGTCTGAGTTGCTCGTTGAGTTGTTCTTTGTTGCTTGCGGCAGTATAGGATGTGCGCCGTTCCACGCGTTCACAGCTCGAGGGAGCGAGACCTTTTTTTATCGTGCCATAGTGCAGACGACTGCTGAGTTCAAATATACTTGTCATTTAAAGGAGCTGTTAAGAATAAACCGCAGCCGCGCGAAAGTTAGCCATTTGTGGCGCCTTTCTCCACTTATTTTCTTCTGATTAGCGTTCGCCAGAGTACAGGTTTTGTATACTGACATTTGATTGATTTCGCCCACTGCCCGCGCGACATCACAGCGTCTTTTTCTATCACTATCATGCTGAAGAAAGCTGTACCCTTAAAACCTGCTTACTCTTCTTTTTGTACGTACGAAGGCCTCCAAGCATTGCTTTTGGTGTTGCCAGTCTGCATTGTCGTACGAGTGCACTTACTTACGCCCGCTACACTTCGCCTCGATTTGAGAGTCTGAGCTGCGTTTATTTCATCTCAGAAGATTTGTCGTATAGCGCTAAAGGAGGAAGCAACATATCTACTACATTACCAGCCGGCTTTT